ATCATGCGCTCTAAATTGTGAATAGTTAATATTGGACACAAATGTTAAGCACTGAGCAACTTTTCCACATGTAGACCAACACTGCCTACCCATGGTCCCTAATTTTTCACATAATTTTGTCACTCAGTTAAGAGTTGTCTTCTTCCAGATCAATTACAATTCAATCCACTATTTTAATCACGCTAACATGATAATGACAACAGTAATAGATTTTAGCTATATACTATATTTTGATCAGTATTAACTGAAAATAGAAGTGATTCTTGTTTTGGAAATGTAAACTTCATTCTTAATCCCCATGGCCATACATAACACACATAAGATTAAAGAACTGAGCCAATACCTTTGCCATCTCAATAAAGGAACAATTAACGTTGTCCATTTGTCAATGGCATCATCTTGCAGAATTGTAAATACACAGAGTAGCAAGTTATCCCAAATATCTAACCCACAACTGACTTGAGAGGAAGGACACATATAAATAGGCTTTCTGGAGGCGGGGGCTTCCTAGGGGACCAGATCCCTGAATCTACCCTGGTGATCCTTGCCTGAGCGTGTGACATATGTGCCCTAGACCTGGAGTCAGGAGAACCAGGCGCCTGCTCCCTTCCCTGTCCCATGCCTTAATTCAGCAGTTTGCTGGGACATTTTGCTCCCTCTCACGTCAGTAATGTCTTACATCCAGACCAGCTTCCTTTTATTGCTGTCTCTAATATGACCACTGCTTCTCAGGGAATCTTAAAATTCCACAAAGTTAAGATAGAGCAGTGGCTAGGAGCTTTATCATCTGAAGACTTGGAATTGAATTGCAGTGACATGACTGTTTTGCTTAACAAACATTTATATAACACCATGTGCCAGGCACTCTTCTAGGTGCTTTACAAATATTAACTCCTTTAATCCACATAACAGCCCTATGTGCAGTTTCTACTTATTGTAACCCATATTTTCCTGTTGGGGAAACTGAAGCACAGACAGGTTTAGTAACTTGCCTAAGGCTCGACAGCTAATAAATGACAGGGGTCGGCTGTAACTGGAGGCCCTCACTTTGTGCTCTGCAGCTCTCTTCGGATTCACCAACCCGAACCTCAGGTTTATCATCTGCAAAATAAAAATTAATACCTTTATCCCCAGGTTATTTGAAAATATTTGAGTTTAGTCTAACAAGAAACATAACCAAGGCACAATAATACAGGATTAACACCATAATAATGATGCGAAGAAAGTGCTATGGAAACACAGATAGGGGAATAATTTAATTGGCCCAAGGGCGGCTATCTGGAGTAAAGAGGAAATGACATTTGAAATGACCCGGGATCAGGAAGAAGGTGACACTGGCAAGGGCAAAAAATCAGAGACCTTGACCTTTCAGAGCAAGGTGTCAGGTGAGCACAGGGTTTTCATGGTGGTGGTAGTGCTGGTGCTGGTGCTGGTGCTGAGCTTTGGCTGCGAGGGGCTGGGCCCAATGAGCAAGTAAATGGGAAGATGAGTTTTCCACAAATCTCAATCAAAACCCAGGAATCTCTGAGGGGCAGAGGGAGGAAGCAATGGGGATCAAAGATGGGCCTGGAACATCTTTTTGTGCTAGAAAGTATAGAACTGTTCCAAAGAATAACATAGGCATGGCACAAGGTCAAAGAAGTCAGCTTGGAGGGGCTATCAATGGCCAAACCTGGAACAATTTGACTACCAAAATAATTAAGAACAATAACAGTTAAAAACCACTTGGCGGGGATAAGAATTTGTAAGTTAATACCAGTGACAAGTGAATGGAGAGAAGGGAGGGCTCTTGTTTACAGCAGAATCCTGAGTTCCAACTGGTAAATGTGAAGAGAGTGTGGGAGCTGGAAAATCATTTTGCAGCTATCATAGTAAGATGACAGAATCCAGCAAGAACCATCAATAGCTGCTAAACTTCAAGAGAGAAAGAGCCGGATATTGGATGTTCTTAAAGTGCCTTCTGGTGCCTTCCCATATGTTGCTTATTAGCTGCAAGGGGGGAAAGCAGTCATTACACAGTGGAGAACTGATAACACCTTGAGCAGGTGGTCAGTGGGGGCAGATGGACACTGTGTGCCTCCAGATGTGATACCCTGCCAAGGACACAGCATCACTGTCTCTCCTGTTTTGGCTGAGAATGCATAACCCGAATCTAACTATGAGATAAATTATCAGACCAACTCAAAATGGTGAACTTTGTACTTAAAATGGCTGGGAGTGGGCTCTGTTCTTCAAAAATATCAACATCGTAAAAGACAAAGACAGGCTGTGGGAATGTTCCAGATTAAAGAAGGCCAAGGAGACCCAACCACTAAGTCCAATACCTGGCTCTATGCTGGATCCAGGGCTGGGGGGGGG